CAGTGGATTAATGTTTTGCTCTGATAAAAATAGATTTGGGTTCTTAGGGGAAATCTGGACTGTCTCTGAGTGGTCTATCCGTCCTGCTTTTGACTGTGAAATGTCAAGAGCGTTTGTTTTCTAGATGAGCACTGGAAACGGAGCTCAGTCAGGACTAGGTTGCTGCCCACTCTGCCTCTGGCACATGCCCCCGCGCGACCCTCTCTGGGTCCCAGAATTTTCATACCTTCAAAAGGAAGAAGAAGGAATGATGGGTTCCTCTGTGATGGCCCCGGACATCTCGACAAGTAAAAATACACTATTCCGAGTGGTGATATTTGCTGTAAAGAAAAATCAAGTTGATATCCTGGTGAAAGACGTCGCCTGCGTGCGGGAGTCTCGGCCCTGAGCATAGTGTGATTTCACCAGATCAGCAGCAGAGCCTACGGCTGACCTTTGAACTTCAGAACTTCATGGTACATTCCTAAGTCCGAACTTGAACTTCTGAAACTCATCTTTGATACTCGTCTTGACCGTGGCGGTGGTCTCTTTTGGTTTGCCATATGCAAAAATGGGTTAAATTGTGATATTGTTATCACGGTGACCATCTAGGGGTGCTGGGTTCATGGTCTTCCTTGAGCCCCAAATTGAAGAACAGGACCCAGAGACATAGGAAAGCAGCAGTTTTATTGCACAAGTGACAGAGACAGACTTCTCCAAAGAGAAGGGGCCTCAGAGCTGGAAATCCCGAGGGGGGCTACTGGCCTGTTCTTTTTATGGTTTCTGGAATATTCTTCGTACCTTATCTCCTGTCCACATGCTCCTCACTAGTATTGATGGGTGGCCCCTCCGTCTACTTGTCTGTCTTAGTTTTTCTATTGGGTCCCCCACTCAGGAGCATGACTGGTTCCCCCACTTGGGTCCTCCAAGTTGACCTCACTAGAAGACCCTCTGCATGCTCCTTGTTCTGACCCTGTTCTGAACTCCTCTCTCGCCATCTTGCCGGGGCTGCCTCTGCCCCTCTACGTCTCCCTCATTACAATTTTGGGAAATTCTTACAATATAATAATTTTGCCATTGGTTGGTTTTCTTTTTTTTTTTTTTTTTTTTTTTTTGGATTTTTTCTCTCTATCCAATTTGGAGATCAACTCTTCTCTTTGGAGCAGAGTTCCAGGGAACTCTTCCGGTTGACTTCATGGAAATACTGGAGTCAGGCCAGGGGCCCAGTTTGGCCCCAGGAGACCCTAGAGAAGGTACCATGAGAATTCACTGCCCCTTAATCATGCAGGACAACGTGGACAGGTATTGTTACTGAACAGCTAGATCCCCGAGGCTACACTAACGGGTGAGGCACCTCAAAGCTGTTCTGGAAATTATGTTTTAAAAGATCTGAGCAGGATTTGGCTGATCCATGATCGTACTTAAATTTCTCTTTAAAAAAACACAAAACTTTTTATTTATTTCTTTATTTTTTGTAATCAGTGCTGAGGATCAAACCCAGTTCCTCACACGTGCTAGGCCAGGGCTCTACCTCTGAGCCCACTTTAATTTCTCTTTACTACTCTATCTCCTTCATGAATTGGCTTTTTGTTTATTTACTTTTTATTCAATTTATTTATCAGGGGTACATTTGCACATAAAAATTGGACACATTTGTAGAGTACCATGTGATATGTCAAGGCAGGTAAGATTTATGTTTGAAGCAGGCTGACCCTACCTACTCAAGTATTTTCATATCTGTATGATAAAAAGTTTCAAAATACTTTCTTCTAGCTTTTTTTTTTGAGAAGTATAGAAGAGTATTGCTAAATTCGTTGTTTTCTGTTCCATTTAATAACTTTCTCAAACACTGAAGTAATGCAGGTAACAGCTTTATTTTTTTCTTCTATTACTTATTTTTTTGATTGAATTGCATTAGTGCAGGATTTTCCCAGCTGATCTGTGTGAGCTATGAATGGATGTTTTAGAAAATCAATTTGTGTGTGTGTGTGTGTGTGTCTATGTGTGTGTGTGTGTGCGTTGTAGGGGTGGTATTATCAAATATGTTTAAGTAATTAAACACTCTAAGGAATTTCAAGGACATTTGCAAGTTGAGATCTCCTTCCAGTTCTGAAAGAAAATTAAAAAAAAAGTTTAATCTGTATAACGCAATGCTTCTCAAAGTCATGTGATTAGATAACCCTTTAACTTTTGGGAAGTGGGGGACAGAGAACAGGAAATATGTGTGCAAAAACTATAATTGATGATATGCCACAGGATGCCTGGCGTGGTGGTGCAAGTCTGTAATCCCAGAGACTCGGGAGGCTGAGGCAGGAGGATCACAAGTTCAAAGCCAGCCTCAGCGACTTAGCGAAGCCCTAAGCAATTTAGCAAGACCCTGTCTCTAGATAAAACATAAAAAGGGTTGGGGATGAAAGAGAGAAACACTACAGTGTGCACATAGGTTTGTTTATGTCTCCCACTAAAGTACCAAGTCCTTTCAGTCCCAACACAGTGAGACCAAAGGAATTAATTGGTTTGTCAATAGCTCAAGTAGCATGCTAGTGGAATACGATTCCTTCACAATTTTTTTTTTTACTCTTGTAATGATTCAGCTGGTGAAGGGTAAACCAGTCATGATGAGCTCTGTTCAGCCCTTGAGAGATTTCCAGGTGACATTTCACACAACGATTCTCACCTGTTGAAAATCAGCACCATTTCCAGGATTCAGAAGTTCAAAGTGACAGAGTTTACCCAGCTTCCCTTTTGCGAAACTCAGACTTTGAACGTGGGTCTGACCTTCTGGATGCCTTTTTCTTTTTTATTTTTCTTAAATACTTATTTTTTAGTTTTAGGTGGACACAATATTTTTATTTTACATTTATGTGGTGCTGAGGATTGAACCCAGGGCCTCGTGCATGCTAGGTGAGCGCTCTACCACTGAGCCACACTTTCTAGATGCTGTAGGTGCCTCCTCCCACAGAATCCCCACAGCCCCGCAGCCACCACCCACGAGAAAAGTTTTGAAGGAAGCATCTTCAGGGAAGACGTGTACAGTTGCCCGTGATCCGTTGCAACTCTCTGCAGAGAGGCGTGTGCTTTGATTCATATTGTGCTGGTGAATTACTTTCTGACTTCTAGCTTGTGGCTTTGGAGATGCTGATTTGTACTTAAAACTCTCTTTGAGCTCATAAGGAGACAGACTGTGTGCTTCTTGAAGTGCTGAGAGGTGGCTGGGCTTGCTGGAGACCCCCATGCCGTGTCCCTAGTCTCTGTGCCAAATCTGTTCTTGCAGGAAGCCTGCCACAGTGATTATACTTCAGGACCTAGGACAGAGGCTTCTCCTCTCTGAGATTTTTATTTCTTAAGGAAGTGACTAGTTTACTAGGAAGCACTTGTTTATTTACACTGAATACCCTCTTGACATCAGCATGGGGTGACTTCTAATTACAGGCACATGCATAAATAAAGTGATTAGCTATTCTCCTATAAACATAATTGGGTCTCTCCAAAGCAATGCATGCGGAAATGTTATAATCCAGGCATAAAAGGGAAAGCAACCTGGCATAGACCCCTCCTTTGTATGTCAACAGCAGATCATTAAAGCCAAGTGGATTTCCTCTTGTCCATCCAGTTCTCCAGGTCAATTGCAGTTGGGATTCATGGAAAGGATTGAACGGCAAAAATACCTTCCGCGGTAATTAATGTTCTCTTTACAAGTCTCAAGTGGCCTTTCTACCAAGTTCCAAGGACACTCCGTGCATTTGGAATTTAACCCAGGATCACTTTAAAGAGCAACGTGGTAACTCAGCCAAGTCCTTATGAAACCATAGGTTCCCTTTGCGTTCCAATTGCTCCTTCTCCGTCCCCTGTGCCAAGTGATTATCTAAGACAAAATGTTGGCTAATCGGGGCCAGGAGCTGGACTATCACCTTTCAGCTTGGGACAACCTGGAGTTCATTAAGAGAGCCATCCTGGGGTGCCTGGCACTGAAGAAGTCGGGTTTCCTTGGACTATGTGGGGTCACCGCAATAAGTCATTCAAATTCACTGTCATTTAGGGCTTTGTTGTTTTTTTTTGTTTTTGTTTTTGTTTTTGAAATTGAAAGCGTGGGGTTATATGTTCATTCAGAAAAAGCATTTACCTAATCCCTAGGAAAAATACGACCTTTCAAAAGAGCATTTTCAAGCATGATTGCCCGTTACATTTATCCCCCTGATATTCTGGGAAGAGTACATATTTGCAAATCCATTGCTGTGTCCCCAGGATTCCCCCATGTACTCCCTTACGTAGAGAATAGCACATCCAACTATTTTTTAAAAATACAGATTTATATTTGCAGGATGAGTCAACTCGTCTCGTCAGCTTAGGTGGATTTAAGGAGCGTTTGCAATGATGTTTTTTTGAGTGTTTTTGTGATGTTAAACTGCTGTGTCACTAAAATGAGGCAGGAATGTTCAACCTCATAAATAAGAAGAGAGTAGAATTTGGGTCCATAGTGGGAGACCTTGGGAGAAGAACAGATTGAGACTCTGGGTAGGATTCCGACTCTAACCAGGGCTAAGAGTGTGGATGCGTTATTTTGTTCCTTTGTGTCAAAGCATCTCAGTTAACGGGAAACTATCAAATGCATTGGAAACCAGAAGTTTGGTGCAGTTATGTGGTGTTCTGGTGTACTGTGTGACTACCTATAAAATGAAAGTGTGAACTGGTTTCCTGGTGGGTTCTATTACCGTGTCAAGATTATAGATTCCCTGGGTGTATGGTTTAGGAATTAGTAAGAGGTGCTTAGATCTTGGTACATGCTTAGCAAACTATCAAGTTTGGATTTCTCTTCATCAGCTCTCAGTGTATCTTCTAGTTCTCCACAAATAAAAAACCTTAGTGAACTGACAAAGATACGGTGTGATTACTTTGTATCCATGTCTTACAGGCTGAAGGAGAATCACTGGGCAACCTTGTGAATTTCTACCTTTACCATTTCTTTCCTGAATACGGTCAAGTTCAAGTCTCCCAAAGTCGTATCTCTAACGATGATGCTTCCTTTTACTTTCAGAGCTGAGCTACGCCTGGATCTTCAACGAATACCCTTCCTATCAGGATAACCGCCGTTTCGTGTCTCAAGAGACCGGGAATCTGTACATTGCCAAAGTAGAAAAATCAGATGTCGGGAACTATACCTGTGTGGTCACCAATACCGTGACAAATCACAAGGTCCTGGGGCCGCCTACACCTCTGATATTGAGAAATGACGGTGAGTTGTCTAACTTGATTTTGCTAATTCTGGGTGGGTGTGTGCATGTAAGAAAGAGGGGGGAGAGAGAGAGAGAGAGAACTCAGTCACAGGCTGAATATGTAATGATATCATGTTACTGGCACACAGACCTTCAAAGTGTAATGCTTCCTTCATTTGGCACCCATATTTTGTCCGCTTGTGTGAGAAAGAAGCCCTTGAATCCATTTTGGAAAACTAATTAGAAGTCTAATTGCCCATCTCAACAGGAAAGGAATGTGGACTTAGGTGAATATAAATAACAAGGGGATCTATTTCTTGTTTCTCTCCCACTGAAATTAGTATACACAGGCAGACTGGAGTGAAAGGTTGAGCAATTAGCTCATTAATCAATTCGATGTGATTTAGCATTCTGAAAGAAGTTTTCCATTATCCCAAGTAACATCTGGATTTATAAAGCTAGAGTCCCAGTTCCCATGGCCGTCCGATGGAGAATTAACGAGGCCCCTTTGAGACGGAAGTCTTAATTCCTCACACTATCATGAGGCTATTTCAAGAAAATATATGAAGTTCACCTTAATTGCTTAATGACCTAACAATGTATATAAATCACCCGTGCTTTTTTTTTACTATATATATTTTTTATTGTAATTGGACACAATACCTTTATTTTATTTTATTTTATTTTATATAGTGCCGAGGATTGAACCCAGGGCTTTGCATGTGCTAGGCTATAGCTCTCTATCACTGAGCCACAACCCCAGCCCCTCACCCCACATCAGGCTACTTCTCTAAACTCCAGTGAGAGATATGTTCCACAATGAAATCCGAGGCCACACAGTGGAAAAATCATGGCTCAGGATCCCCACCCAGCACCCACGTCCGATGGACTGCAGAGCCTGGTATTTTAAACCCTCTCTCTCCCTGCGCTCTTTTTCGTTGGACGACACCACTTCTTACCTGAATTTACACGAGACAGGCTTGGAAGATTCCAGATGAGAACCCAGATTTCTATCTCCCAAGCTTGCAACTCTCTCCATGAATTTTTAACCCAATTGGGACTCTGAACCTCCCAGAACAGGGAGTTTAGAGCAAGACCAGATGTGTAGACAGGGTCTGAGCATCCTTATAGTGTAGACCCTCCTGTGGAATTTGGGTGCAAATGATTTAGACTTCAGTCTTTTGTTTAGTCATCTATTGAACATATATTTATTTAGCACTTGCTGTGTTACAACCATGTCTTTGTGGGCTGATAATCAAGGACCAGAAGGCCCTTCTCTGATGGTACCCATATTCTCCTGGCAGAAACAAACCCCCCAAAAAACAAATAACCCTAAACAAAACAAAAACAAAAATCAGATTATTTTAGAGAGCAGTAAATCTGTCAGTTTGGTGAAATGAAGGCTCTGTGGGGTGGATATCAACTTTAAAAAGATTTTCTGTGGAAAGTCTTTCTGAGGCAGGACCTAGGGACTGAATCCTGGATGATAAGAAATCCGTCCTATGAGGATCAGCTGGTGGAACAAGCCAGGCTGAGTTCACATCGTATGCAAAGGTCCTGAGGCCAGTGAATAGCTCTTTGCATATTGTGGAAACTTAAAGAATTAAGCCTGCTTAGAGCACAGTGAGTCGATAGAGCTTGCTTGACATTGAGCTTAGAAAGGGGTCAGGGGCCAGATCTGGAGGCCCTCAAGAGAAGATTGGGTTTTCTTTCTGGAGCACTGAGAAGTCCTTAGAGAATTGCATTCTGGAGAGTCAATACCGTCTTTGTAAATAGAGAGGGAGGTCACAGAAGAGAAAAGCAAGATGCACTTGGAAATCTGGTGTAGCCACCAAGGGTAGAGGAAGGTCATTGGCTGAAATGGTGTCCCAGCCCGGGTTTGCCAAGGAAGAATTGCAAACATTATTTTAGACATTCTTTGTGAGGGCCCAACACAGCTTCTCTTCCTTGGCCCCCATGAAGAATCGTCTGTTTTCTGGTTTTAAGTGCATTTTTCTATCACGATGTTCACCTGATATATCCATATTAAATTCTAAGTAGCTCACTTTCCCACCTTACCCAGATTAGCATCAAAGATCACTGTTTTCATCCGTCTTTGTGCTGGACCCAAGCATCCTGCCAGCCTCATGGAAAATGTGAAATCAGTATGTTGGGGCGAAGATGCATTTCCCCTAGGTAAAGCCACGCAACCATCCCTTTAAAGGAGACAGGCCAGTTCCCAGTGTTGTTGAGAGTGATCATCGCCACTTCTCCAGAACCCAAGACGAAGGAGCTTTTCCAAAGACAGAAATTACTTTGTAAGAAATTATTTGAAAACACAGCTCCTCTGGCCTCTACCCAAAGTGTATTTGGGACAGAATGTTTCTACAGTGACTTGGTCAGTTTTGGGGTGCCGAGTCACAGAAGTCAGGGAAATATGGACTTTGATGCACAAACATGATGTAGCAGAAGGCAAACATCACATAAACCTGCCCCTTAAGAAAAAAGGGACCCCTGGGCGCGGTGGCGCATGCCTATAATCCCAGCGGCTCGGGAGGCTGAGGCAGGAGGATCGCAAGTTCAAAGCCAGCCTCAGCAAAAGTGAGGCGCTAAGCAACTCAGTGAGACCCTGTCTCTAAGTAAAATACAAAATAGGGCTGGGGATGGGGCTCAGTGGCCAAGTGCCCCTGAGTCCAATCTCTGGTACCCACCCCCTGCCCCCCAAAAAAAGGAAGCGGGAACAAAAATTTAGGATCTCAAAATTCCAAGATCGTCATGGACACCTCAAGTGGGTATCAGTCCCTCTTTCAGCCTGTCTAGTATCTCTTCACGGGAATGACACATGTTTTGTATCAGAATACTTTATCACTAAATTAGCAGACTAAGGATCTCATTCTTCGGCAATTAATGGCCATTTAGTCTTAATTTCCATGAGTGTTCCATGGCGAAAATTCATAATGTCTTTCCCATTGAGGTTGCAGTACATAAAAGAGACACTCTTTTATGTACTATATTGCTATGCACAAAGCCGGTTCTTTAATGAGGTCCTGTTTGCAGGTGAGAGAAAGGCAGAAATATAAATCAAACAGAGGTTGCAACATAAAGATGACCCGAAAGTCTCTTCCCTGGGAGTAAAATCAATGAAGTGATCCCTCCACAAGATCTGGGATGGAGTGACTGGCTGTGTGTGGTCCAGTATTCAGGTTATTTCTTTGGAGATCCAGCTAAGCAGTTCTGGACTTGGATGCATTGAATCCAGCCCCCAAAGTCACAGTGAATCATAGAAAGTTAAACCGTGAGACTCACGTATCAGGCTCACGTCCTGATAGGACTCAGGTGCAGTACCCCATGGGTCCTCCTCATGGATGATAAGTGCCACCTGCCCCTGGCACACCACGGTTCCACAGCGCCCCAGGATGTGCTGTTCCATTTTCCCTATCTCTACTTATATCTTCCTTGGTCCTTCCTATATCTCTGATCCTTAATCAAATATAGGCCAGGAAGTCTGCCCTGAAGACCCTGGAGGCAGGCTCTCTGGGTGGAATCTAGACCCCCTATTTATTAACTAAGCAACTTTGGAGGTATGGCTTTAACCTCATTGTCTTTTATTTTTCTTATCCGTAAAATTAAGATAGCAAAGTAATTCTGTGTATGAAAATACATATAAAGTAACAGGCACGGTGGTGAATGCCTGTAATCCCAGCAGCTCAGGAGGCTGAGGCAGGAGGATGGCAGGTCCAAAGCCAGCCTCAGCAACAGCGAGGTGCTAAGCAACTCAGTGAGACCCTGTCTCTAAATAAAATACAAAAAGGGCTGGTGATGTGGCTCAGTAGTTGAGCATCCCTGGGTTCCAATCCCCAGTACAAAAAAGAAATAAATAAATCATAATGAGAATTCTTCCAAAGAGCTTCATCATTTAGTACTATTTACCCGTAAGAAGTATAAAATTGAGAGTTAGACCCATGTGAGAGAAGGTTGTACCAGAGTTTGTAGTTATTTATCTGGATATTTTAAAATCTGCTCTGAAAAGATAATATAACTTACTCTCTGGGAATCCATGGGAGCGTGCAATGTTTGCCTTAGGTGTTGTGAAAGGAAAAAAGGAGTCTAATTGAGAAAAGAGCCTCCTCGTTATTATTGCTGCAGTAGCTCATTGATCAGCATTAGCCTCATTGCTGGTTATTAATAATCAGGAGCTTGCTGTCTTATGTGTTTTGCACGGATCTCAAAAGAATTGTCTCTCCATTTGCATAAACAGAGGCAGAAGACCACCACGTAACATAACTACGAGAGAAATAATAGAACTCGATGAGGATCATAATGGCTAGTTCCTCCGCCTTCCACCATCGCCCCTGACTCCCCATCTGATGGCTAAAGAGGCAAAGAATTAACATAGAAATGAGAAATTGGGAAAATGAGACCGAGTCTGTGAGGATGTTTAGGTCTGGTACATGCAAGACTTTCGTAATTGAGCATGAAGAATCCTCGTCTGGTCTTCATATTTTTTTTTTTCCGTTTTCCTTGAGACTGGCTGCAGATGGGTTTGGCAGATCTTAGTTTTGCTTATTAGAATCAAGACATATGCTTAGCAGTGTACGGCCTGGGTCTATCTGCTGGTTCCTAAACATTGTTGAATATTATCCCTGATTAGAACTCTACCCAGAAGAGATACTAGGGAACAGGGGAAATTAAATACAAGTCCTATCTTAGAGTTTAAAATTCTTTTTCTCTTTCCCTTTGACTGATTAATCTCCCTATTTCTACATATATATATATATATATATATATATATAATGTGTGTGTGTTTGTGAGCATATCTGTGTACACATAAAAATGAGTGATTTCTAAGCAACTCAGTGAGACCCTGTGTCTAAAGAAAATACAGAATAGGGCTGTGGATGGCTCAGTGGTCGAGTGCCCCTGAGTTCAGTGACTAGAACCCCTTCCCCCCAAATGAGTGATTTATAGCAAGTTATATCTAAGTTGTCTGAGGGACTCCAGGCATTGCTTTCTAACTTGATTGACTCCAGTCTCAATTTGT